CGCAAACAAAATGCCTGTTGCTTGGTAACATTTCACTTGAGCCTGACCTTCCCCGAAAGTTATTGCTATCAGATTCGATTTACACTGTCCTCCTGTGATTACTGTAATCTGTTAAACCCGGGAGTTCATCCATCACGGAAAAGAGGAGTTGGTTGTGTAAATCGAGAGCACGGCTATCCCGCCAGATTTATAACCCAGAGGGGTGTGTTAGGTGGGGGGAGGTTCTGTCCTGGATGGCAGTGGAACTCTGTGGTTCCCAGACGTGGAAAACGCTCCCGTTTTCCTGTCCACCCTGTGCTCAGATCCACAAGATGGACACCAGCGCCTCTCCGAGCCGGCCGGGGGGGGCAGCTCGGGCTCCACAGGGAGAAAGAGGCTGGGAGACCCGCCAGAGCTACGCCCACCCCGAGGGGCGCCCCCGAGGACTTTAGGGCTGGGCCCGCCCCGGAGGCCTAGGGTTGCCAGATAAAATAGCAGGATGCCCAGTTAAACCTGCACTTAGCAAAAATCACAATGTTTCAGTACAAGTGTGCCCCATACAATATTTGATATCCCTTTTTTGTGTTTATTTGCAGGCTTTTTGCTAAATCGGGCAACCAACCGAACAGGCGGGGTCTAACCCAGCCCACGGGGCTGAGCGCGAGTGGAAGGTGCCGCCGCAGCGGCGGTGCCGCGAGGATTGGGTGCAAGAGAACAGTGGTCCAGGGCGGCCGCAGGGGAGCCGCGAGCGCGCTGCTGCCACCGCACGGGCCTCTCCCGGCGTCCCATCCATCCCTGACCCGGCCCGGGGTCCCTGAGCCGCCGCCCCGCACTTCCACTCGCTGCGCTCTCGGCTGCTCCGGGACCCAAGAAGCCGGTCCGTAACTCGGCAACTCGCTGGGCGCCGGTGGGAAAGGCCCGGAGCCGTGAGCAGCCCTGAGTCCGCCCTCCAGAGCCAGACGTGGGTAAGGTTTAGGAGAAGACCAGTGCGGTCTCGCTTCTTCCTTTTCGTTTGGTTGGTTTTTGCTTTTTAAAATGCAACTCTGAGTCAGGCCCCTCGGCCCAAATCAAGGCGTCTGAAATACCCAGACCCTGTTTTAAATTCGTAGCTACCCTTCACGAGTGACTCTGAGGTCTCTCCCACTTTTCCTTTGCTTCAGCCCCTAGCCGTGGAGAATTTCCCATCCTGGCCTGGACCGGTGTTCTGGCAACATTCATCCATGCAGGTGCGTGTCTCTTTTTTTAAAAAATTAAAGTAAAATTTAAAACTAGGAAGCTGACCAGACAGGACCTAATCAAGCTGGAGCTGAAAAGCCCAGAGCAAGCATAAAGATGCTAGGAGGTGCCGGACAGGAGGTCAAATCAAATAAAGGCAGTTTTCCAAAATCTCCCAACTTCCCTTCCTATAGGTCTCTTGTTCTCTCCATTTCAGGAGAAATAAACAAGAAAGGAGACCCTAATTTCCTAGTTAATCCTGCTCTCTTACTCCTAATCAAATAGGATGTTTTAGATTTCTTTTCCTTTAAGAAATTTTTTAACAATTTGTTTACGTATTTATTTGATGGCAGATGTAAACCTAGGAAGAATCTGTAGCCACAGCCCTTTCCTCTGGCAGCCTGAGGAGACCCAGGCCATTCTGCTGGAGCAAGGGTAGGGTGTGGGGGAGGAAGCCAAACAGAGGAATGTAACTTCAGCCTCTCACCTTGGTCGTGACCCCTAACTTTCCTCAGCTCTACAGCCCAGGCCCTGAAAGGCTGGCTTGGCTGGTTGAGGCTGCTGACTCAGATACTCTAAGAGCTGAAAGGTGTTCAAGCTTCCCAAGGTATTTTCCTGACAGAAAGGAGGGGGGAGTGAAGAGGAAATGAAAGAGAAACGCATCAATAGGATAGATTTAAAGGAGCTTAGACTATAATTTGGGGCTCAATCAAAATCTAGTAATTCCAGGCCAGTCGTAGATGATAATCTAGGAGCAGGGGAAATGTACACCCAAAACGAAAAAAAAAAAAAAAAAAAAAAGCTTTAATCCATTGCTAGAAGTAATAACCTGAGAATATGAAAATTCTCCTTACAACCACCTCCACATTAAAAGGGATGTTAAACATGATACACCGTTAGATAAAACAATCTCTGTTCATTTAAAGAATTGGAAGCAGAATTTGGGAAAGAAATTTCTTCCACCTACAAAACTGAGTCTTGGTATTAATGTGGCTCCCTGAACTGGGTGTTTTTTTCCCCAGCGGTGCCCAGCAAACACTCCCTTCTCTAGGGCGTGTACTTTTCACAAGGATTTCTGGAGAGGGGGAAAGACTCTGTGTGTTTGTGCACTTGCATTTGGAGCCAACAAAAAAAGCAAATGTCTCCACAGCTATGTACTAAAGAGACCAACCATGTTTTTGACACTGAAATCACAAAGAAACAAATCTCCATAAATCACCAGGAGATATTTAGAGATTCCTAATGGTCTGTGAACTTACTGTACATGTAACTTACTACCATTCAAACAGAGCTTCATTTACTTCTCTACACAGTGAGCTACTTGCCCAGGACCATATCTGACAAGCTTCTCAATATGCATGGTATGTTACATACAAATGCATCATAAGAACAACTGCCAAAAAAGGAAAAATCCATACAGTCCCATTCAGGCAGTTTTCCCTAACTTAAAACCCAAATGGGCTTTCTCTGTACAAAGCATTGCATAGAACCGATCCACTTGTATACTTGCCTTCCTAATGGAAAACAATTATCTATTCCTTTCCTGCCCTCTCTCGCCATCATCGGATTGGTGACTGGCTTTTTGTTGGTGTTGAATGGAATTATGGGGCCCGAACCAATTGAAAGCAGAAAACAAAAGTTACATAATAAATGTGCAAGGTATGCATTAGGACCTGAGCATTTGATCCCTGATAGTTTAGGCCCCCAAAGCCATCACTCTGACCTTTTCTAGTGGTAAATCCTATTCTCCTTTGTAATTACTTGTTTTCATTTTGAAAGGCTCAGGTCATCCCAGAACACTTAGTTCTGAGTAAAAGAGAGAGCACCAGGTCTGGTTTGTCCAGTTGCCGTCTCCCTCTCCTATTCTCCCCAAGCATGTATCCTTCTGCTACCGAGGCTGCTGCTTGGCCTTTCTGCCTGCCCCTCCCTCCCCGCCTCCCAGGGTTATTTTTGGTTTTGTGACTCTATAGAAAGCATGAACTCTGGCTATCCCAAAGAATGGTTAGAACAGCACACAATGTGAAAGGAATCCCCTCTTGGACAGGGACCCCCAGAACCCAAAGCACTATTACACGGGTGCTGCTTGGGCAGGTGGCCACTGCAAGATGCTACCACTGTCACAAACTCAAAACTCCCGACCTAGTGTTGGGGGAAATGGAGACACAGAAACCGGAAATGGAAAGGTTAAGGAAAGTTACTGGCATGGAGAACTGAGACAAAACTCTCCTAGTTACCTGCTCTAACTTAAAGGAGAAAAACAAAAAGAATGTCCTTTCCCCACCCCCCTCCTATTCCTCTGTGACAAACCTATAAGTATGAAGAGATCACACTGACAAAAGAGAGTCAACTGGGAGTGGGCGGACATTACTCAGAGAAATGCTTATATTCTACCTTGGATTAAACATCCACAAAATCCATGTTCAGTAAACTCACTTCTGTCCTTAAAATACCCAGTTCTGCTCTTCCCATAAGATGTTCTCAGAGCTTCAGGTCTGGAGAGCATAATGGAGCAACAGGGCAGCAGGACTGCACCTGCCAGGCTGCCTACCAACTCACCCTAAATGTTTCCCTGGCTCCGTACAGCAGTGCAGTGCTGCTGAAAGCCTCTCTCCAAGAGCCAGAGGTACAGTCTTTTTCGGGGTGGGGGGAGACTGGGGGTAGGCGGAAGCTCTACCATTAGTTCTGCCCACAGAAGGGCTTTGGGCCTTCCAGGGCCTTCCATCTCTGAATTCCAGCATACCCCTCAACCCCCTCGCTTCCTTTGTACATCTGCCCCAGTGAAAGGGAAAGACCAAACACCTGTCCACAGAATTCTACGAGCTTAAAATCAAAGGAGCACTCGGGCTGGGCAGGATGGTAAACTAGACATTCTCCAGGAGGAAAGGCTCCACTGGGGTTTGCAAGGCTTTGGAGGCCTGAAGGAGGGAACCTGATGGAGAGGTGAGGGGAGGAATCTGCCCACCTCCAGGGCTCAGAGCAGACCCATGCTCTCTAAAGCACAGCAGAGGAGGAGAGGGGAGAGGAGAGGAGAGGACAGGAGGAGGCCCAGGCCCACCTAGAACTGGGGAAAGGACTCTCCAGGGCTGGCCTTCCTCACTGTAGGTCGTTTTGTTTGTTTCTTTAAGACCACGGTGACTGCTGAGGGCTGCCTGCGGAATGCTGTTAAAGGACCTGAGCAATTCTGCAAAAGGAGTTGGTTGACTCTGGGCGCACTAGATTCTGAGTCCCCGCTATCAGTGTGGTGGCCTTTCTGGCCCTTGTTTACTACTGCTTCTAAATAGGCCTTCTTTCAACAGACTGCAAGAGGCTGGAGGCCACAGTAGGCTACTTGAAAGGCTTCGGGTTCGCTCAAATTCCCCGGGGGCCGAGAAAAACACCCAGAGTCATCCAAGCCTTGGGCCTTGGCTCCTTCCTTGCACCTACCCATCCCAACCTGCAAATGCGAGGCCCTCTAAAGCCTGCGGCAAGAAAGCCTGGCCGCACGGTGGTGTGTGCCCACGCGGATTTTAATTTGGTCCTGCCTCGACCTCTTTATTTACCCGTCCCCCTTTAACCTGGGGAAGGCAATTGGCGAGCCCGAGGCGCCTTTCCCGTGGGCGCCTGGGTTCACCTCCTGCCTCGCCGGGTCCAGACCGAAGATCGCTTCTGCCGAGAGAGTAAGGACCGGCTCGGCTGGAGTTGGGGCGGAAGGCCGGGCCATCTTCCCAAAAATTCGCCTCTGAGCCCCCCAGCCAAAGCAGCAATAGCCGCTTGGAAGTGTTTTCGCCCACGCGCAGGGCCCAGTCCGGCCCCGCAGCTGCTCTTACCTGGCTTGGCGAGCTGCGCCTGCAGCGCCCCAAGCTGGGGCTCCGCGGCCCAGCGCAGCGCGGCGGCAGCAGCCAACTCCACAGCGGGGCGCGGCGGCGGCGGCGGTGCCTGAGACGGCTGCGAGGTCGGCAGCGGCGGGGCAGAGGTGGCGTCTCCCGGCGGCGGGGGTCCCGGCAGGGAGCGCAGCGAGTCGGGGATGAGGCTCTCGAGGCTCTCGTTGGCCTGCTGCCTGCGCAGCGCCACCTGCGCCGCCATGACCCGCTGCCGCTCGATGATAAGGATGCACTTCTCACAGGTGCAGTCTTTGAAGCGGCAGTAGCGTTTGTGGCCCTTGAGCCAGGACAGCACGCCGTGGTTGCGGCAGCGCGCGCACTTGGGCGTGCGCTGCAAGGGCGCCCGCGGCGGCTGCGACACGGGGCCGCCCATGTACAGGTAGGGAGAGCCGTAGCCGTTCATGCCCTGGGCTCCCGGAAGAGCTGGCGGGCTGGCGGCGAGAGCGCGTCAGGGGGCGCTGGACGACGGGTTGGGAGGCCCGCTCAGGGGCGGCCTCCGGGCGGCGCAGTCTTTGGTCCAGCAGTCCCCGCGGCCGCGTGCGCTCCGGGATGGCCGGAGGGGCTGCAGCCGTGTTTACGGCTCCCGCGGCGCTCACAGCCTCAGCCTCCCGACTGGCGCCCCACCAATCTCACGCCGGTCGCGTCTCCGCCTGCCGCTGCTTTGGCCGGCACGTCCTCACTCGCCGAGGCGCTGCGGCGGCTGCCAGGGGCCGGCGAGAGCTCTGATTATGGTCTGGGCCAGCTCGTCTGCAGCTCCCGCGCGCGCAGGCCGGGCCCGGCACTTCCTCCGCCGCCCTCCCCCTACTCCTCCTCCCTCCCACCGCCACCCCCACCCCCACCCTCGAGGTCCAGGTCTCCTTGCACTCCCCACCCCACTCCACGCCTGCCTCCTTCCTTTCCGCTCGGGCCCTTCGAGTCCCTGCACTTCACCTTCCTTGCCATCCGCCGTCGGGCCACTCTCACGGGGGCGCTCAAGGCCCCCTCCTCCAAGCTCTCTGCGCTTCCCCTGCCCGCGGCGGGCGGGACTGCGGCGCTCCGGGACGCGGCGGTGCACGCGGGGCGGGGAAGGGAGGACCAGCGCGGGTGAGGGTGGAGGTGCCCTTCGCTCTCTTCCCTTCCCTCCAGGCCTGATTTGGCGGTACCGAGCCCAAGGCCGCTTTCATTCCCACCCTTGGCCACAGAAACACAGCTCCGCGAGAACCGGAGCCTACCAGAGCCCTGCGGGTGCACTCGGTTCCCGGAGTGAGCCGAGAGGGTTTTAAGTTGGGGGGAGCCAGGCCCCGCGGCCACTGGCGGGAGGGGTTGGGGGCAGGGCATTGGAGTTGGTTCGAGAAATGTTGGCTTTCTTTATTTCCTTTTGCAACATTTTTTTCTTTTGCTGCTGTAGAAAAAAATGATTGATTTTGAAAACCTGCTGGCCCAAGGATGACGACCCATTTTGCAGGCTATTTCAAAGGAAAAAACTGTCCTCTCTCTCTGGTGCAGAGTTTATTTCTCTACCCTCCTCCCCACGTTTTAATTTTAAAAAGTCTCTGTCCTGAAAAGCCGGGAAGCGCTCTTATGGGGGATTTGCTTAAGTATTGGGTCTATAAACTTTCAGAGAGCGGACGCAGGAATCACGCTAGCGCCCCCAAAGTTACCGCATATGATCTCCTCCCTGCCCAACGGCATTTGAGCGATAAACGGAGGTCTCGCGTGCCCCAATTCAAATGCCCACGGACTCAGCAATCTAGTTATGGAAAGGGATGGGGCCACACCCCCCCCAGTGTCTTTGGGTAGGGGTGGGGGAGAGCCCTTGCACAAGATGACAGCATAAAACTTTGTTGAAACAGTTATTTGCGTGTTTCTAGACCCCTAAGAGTACCGATTTGGCCTAAGGCAGACTACCACCACAAATGCACGGAGTCTCTCCCGCAATGCAAGAAAACAAAAATAAAAAGCAGGTGGTTACAGCGACGCAGGGTAGCACAATGGCTCAGTGCGAAGGGGGGTAGAATGCAGTCCCGGAGCCGTCTGCCGGCAAGCTCCAGACAGCGCACTCTGAACTCAGCTCTTGGCGGTCTGGGCGAATCGAATGCGAAACCGGGGCGTATACGAGTTTGCTGCAATGGCCAACCGTTTGGCGGCACAGCTGCCCTTGTCCTCTCAGCTTTTCTCTGCACTGCCCTGGAAGCAAACAAGCAACCCGAAAACGTCCCACTGTGTTTGCTGTGAATTCAAGTAGCACCAGGAGTTCTAGCAGCCAACCCTCCGTTTAGAAGGGTGATTCCGGGAGAGGAGCAGGTTAAAAAGGGAACCTGCTTGTGTGTGTTTCCCTTGAAGCCCTTGACTGCCCCCCACCTCCCCCGTTTCAGACCTGCGGACCTGGTAGGGCACGATAAGGAAACCCTAGCCCGAGAGGGCTAACCCTGGGAGGCCTGCCTCCAAAGCTGCTTCGGGAACAGACCCCTTAGTCTTGCCCCTAACCCACCGCCTCATGGATCTCTCCACCCAAGCGTCAAGAAGAAAACAAGCCTTAAAAACACTACAACTGTAAGGAACTTCATAAACTCTCCAAACTGGAGGCCTAGGTGACCTGCAGCCCCGCGGGCCAGAGGCCCTGAAGTGGGGAGTTGACAGCGAGTCACTTCACTTGAGAGACCTAGAGGGCCTAGAAAGACACTGAATCTGGGAACTTTCGCGCTGAAATCTCCAGGTCTCTTGGGAATGCGGGGACCACAGACTGTTTTCAAAGCCAAATTTCTCCCGATTTTCTCCAAATGGTTAGGGAAACCGGGGAGTATAAGGAACTTGGGAGTAAAGAATTTTTTTAAAGGAAAGCAGCAGAGCTCTGCACCAGGTTTGGGGGATATTTCCACTACCAAGGCGACCCACTCTCCTCCCTCAGTCACCTAGCCACCCTATCCCTTTGCCACTCAAGCAGTCTTGCATTATTTGGTCCCAGGGCCCCGTTTCACTCCAGTGCACATTGGGGGCTGAGATCTAAATACTCATTTGATATAGCGCAATAATCCTTTTCTCATATTTGATGGGAATGTTTTCCATAACCCAGTATTTGACAACATCTCCCTATAGGGACAGGTTTGTATTTATGTTGGTAAAATGTCCCCTGCCTCAAAGTCTATTGTAACCCAACACCTGACAACCCAGAGTCCCATTTCTGTTTGCAGAAAGGGTTTATTCAAGCACATAATGGGATCCCAGCAGAAAGCCTTTCAGAACAAGGGGCTATGGTAAACTTCACCACATGAACTCCGTTTCCAGGGCTATTAAGCTTTTAATTGGAAAATAGCAGAGGAAATTTCAAGGTGACTATAACGTGTTAGCAGTTACTGCGGAGAAGAAAAGCCGGAGCGGGGATGAATGTAGAAAGCATATGGTCCGAATCACATTTAGGAGGAGCAGCCTGCTTCTACTAAGTCCCAGCGGCTTGTACACTTATGGGAAAAATCATCAAAGAAACTGGAAAGGGAGGGGGGAGGATTACAAGTAAGTGTAACCTCACTAGACCGGATCCACTCTCTCGTTCTGCTCTGGGTGGGGTGTGTGTGTCTATATGTGCACGTGTGTGTTCAAACCACAATTAACTGGATAGAATTGTGATAGGTATTAACAGCGAAAGGGTGAAAGATAGTGTGCATGTGTGGTTCTCTTTCTCTTGACGCACACACAATCTATATATGTACGTACGTATAAGTCGGAGTGCAGGTGCCGGTGCTGAGAAACCGAAGATGTCCTGACTGGACGCTCATGACCGCAATCAACACTTAATCAAAAGGACAGTTTCATATTGTCCCGGATGTATAATACATCAGGAAATTTTCTGCTTTGCTGGATTCTCATGGAGGGGAGGTCAAGGTTCCTATTCTGCTGTTTAAAACGCGACCACGGTGACACTGGAGGCCGGGGCATGCAGAAAGCCCTTTTATTTTACTTATTTTTTAGAAAGCCCTTTTAAAGCAGGAAAACGAGCTCCCTCTCCCCACGCATGAATTTTTCAGCTCTTACCCTGTGCGTGCCTCTTCGGCATCACTCATTGGCCAACTTCACATCGAAAGGGGGGAACAAATGTCTAGCGAGGCGCTGGGGCCACCAGGAATCGATTTTTTGGGGTGACAATAATGCCCTTCCACATTTGGGAGAGACTCGTGTGCACCCCCATGGCATCCCCGAAGCCGCCCTCTGGGGCTCAGGACAGAGGGTAGAGACCTTGCGACCGGGGAGTTACTGAACCTGCGTCTGGCGGCCGGGGGGACACAGCGGGTGTGAAGGAACATCCTGGACGGTCACGTCCCCACACCATTTTGGCATCGGGGCCGAGGCTTTTCGGAGCAAACGGGGCCTAAAACGGCCTTCAACCCCGGCGGCGCCCTGCAGACGCGGCTGCGCGGTCGTTCATATTCTAGAACTCTCGAGACCAGCAACAGCTCACCCTGGAGGTAGGCACTCCCACGGGTGCAGATTACTCAGACCTAGACTAGACACAAGGTCGCGCCCGCCCCCATCCTTTGCTGTGGCTGCACGGGTGTCGCTCCCGCACTGCAACATCTGAGGGGGCCCCTGAACGGCGACCTCCGCCCCGCGCTGTCGAAAGGAGGGACTGGGAAAGGGCGCCCTCGGAGCGCTCCCACTGGGCCAGGGCCGCGGGGCCCGCAAGCGCCCGGGGCTTCCTGGGCCGAGTCGCGCACACCCCGCCGGGCATGGGGGACTGGAGGCGGCGGTCAAGTCCCTACACGGTTTTAGAAGAGGGTCGCCTGAGCGGTCTGCAGACCCCGTCTACCTTCCGTGCCAAAGGAAAAAGTAAAACATGTACCCTCCGAGATGAAATGAGAGCAGCGCTGCCTTTAAAATAGTTTTAACGTAATCTTTCTCCTGTGACTTTAAAAACCAAAAAAGGCCGAGGAAATAATTTCAGGTAATTTAGAGAAACATTCTAGAAACAAGACAGTTTCTGTTCCCCAAAGTGTTTGCTCTGGTGCAGTTCGCAGGACAAGCCCCCTTTCCGGAACTCTCTTCCGCCTCCCCGCTCCTCTGCAGTCCCGGAAAAAAGCTCTGCTGGGGAGAATGTGGGCGGAGGTGGGGACTTCCAAGGAAGAAGTCCCTTCTCGATTCGACGGGCCCGGGAATGAAGGCGGGAAACGGCCAGCGCTGCCCACACCCCAGGGAAAGTTGGGTGCGAACTCCTTGTACCGAGACCAGACCGGCAAGACAGTGACGCAGCAACGCCGAGGCGCTGCGCGGGCACTCTAAAGCACCCCACCCCGGGGAGCCAGGCCAAGACTCAGCTCACTACGCCCAAGCCAGAGCCTCCCGGGCGGGACGGCTTCCGGAGCAGTTAGGCCGCGCCCACTCTGCGCCCCCGCCCCCCAAGCCCTGCTCGACCCGCCCCTTCGCCCACGACCCGCCCCTTCGCCCACGACCCTCCCCAGCTGTCCGGACCGCAGCTTAGAGCTGCTGAGAAGTTTGCAGGCTGTTTTGCGGAGGGTGGGGGAAGGTACTCAACGAACAACTGGCTGACTAAAGGCCGTTCGCGTTTTTTGAGGGGTAGGGGGGAAAGGCATCTTCTAAAGGCGAGAATCAAGAGTGGCGACTGAGCTTACGGGCGGCCGGCGCGCAGCACAGGTCTCAGGCCTCCTCCGCGTGCGTATGCGCGGAGGGAGAAAGGAGGACGAGGCCCCGTGCAAGTTGCCGGAGCAAACCTCCCAAAGGGGCGGCGGCGGCGCGCAGGCAGGCAGTGGCGGCCCCAACCGGCGGGGCGGACGGGGCCAAGTCCGGGAGCCGAGGAAAATCCCCTGCCTTTCACGGGCTGCCCTCTGTATTTCTTTGTGACACGAAGCGCGTTCTGTAAAGCGCTTTTACCACCACTTGGTGCCAAGTGTCAGGTGCGGTGCAGTCTGTGTGCACGTGAAGCCAGTTCAGCAGTGCGGTTACCGTGAAGCGAGGGGCGGGAGCTCGATTTCTACACGTGGGCGAGAGTTTAATTTGCACGAGGTGCCCGGGAGACGCCAGTGCCGGCTCCCGCCCCTGCCCGGAATGGCGGTTCCCTGCGTGGGCTCTGGGGGGAAGCGAGTGTCACCAAGAGCGCCCTGGGCCCCGCAGGCGGCTTTCCCCGAGACCCTAGTTACGCAGCGCGGGGTCTGCAGCACACTAGTGGGGTGAAGGGGACACCCGAGTGAGCGCAGGTCCCGGGAGCCGCGTCCGCTGGAAGCGGGGAAAACTCGCCCTCACCCCAGCCACTGCGGGAGTCGCAGGCGGTCTTGGGGAGCTTCGTCTGCCCACAGCTCCAAGTCGCGTGGCGGAAGCTTGCCCGGAGTCCGGGAGAAGACCCGGCGAGCCCGCCTCGGTCTCTCGGCGCCGGAGCCACGGCGCCCGCAAGAGACGAGCACTGGGCGCCCGACACGCCCACACCTGCACACACTTGTGGTGCGCACTCCACATCGCACACACTGCGGGTGCCGCCCGCAGGGGCACGCGGCCTTGTTACAGGTGTCCGTTCAAAGGCGCAGAGCTGAGAAACTTATAGCCCCTCAAACGCGGGTGTTAACATTCAGCAGACAAGACTTGCTGTCTGTGCTCTTCCTTGTGTTCAGAATTTTAAGTTCCTTACGCAGTCCGCTTGGGCCTGGCCTGCCTGGCGCTCTCCTCCCTAGCGGTCAAGAATAAGCCTCCTGTTGGAAACCTGAGCGTCGCAGGGCCACTCCACCCCACCAGGCGCGGGAGGAAGACCGCAGGTCCCTCTTTAACGGAGCCATTCGGCGGAGAAGAGAGAAGCAGCCGAAGCTACCCTCAACTCCGCCTGGGCCCGTTGAGGTCCTGGGGTCTGTGTCCTCGCGCTGGGAGTAGCCCTTCTTGGGCAGAATCTTCGGTAAGAGTCCCCGCGCGGCGGGCGCCCGAATTCAGAACCAAACTCGGCGTCAGGAGAAGCAGTGGACCCTCGGGGCGTAGGAGGCCCACTAGACAAGACTGGTTCCCAGGGCTCCGACGGCCCAGAGTGGAGCTCCGGGCCGCAGTAGGAGGCCGGGAGGCGCAGGGCCTTCGAAACTGGAGCCCGGGCTCACCAGGGACCCAGGGGGTGCTCGGTCAGGGCTCTGAGAGCACACACGCGCGCTTTTCCGGGCTCCGCCTGGCTTTCCAGAAACGCAGGGGCACTGAAGGGAGCTGTGCTGGGAGAGGGCACACACGCACACACACCCGTTGAAGGGGCGTGCCGAGCTTCTCCATCAAACACACCCAGCAAAATTAGTGTGTTGGGGTCATCTTGGAACAGTAGGAACTGGAAGACTCCTGGATCCGCAGAAGCCAGGATTATTCAAAGAAATAGAGGGGGCCTAGGCAGTGGGCAGCGAGTGCGCAGGTGAGCAAGGAATCTTCATCTCCAAAAAGCCACCACTGACGCCTTGAAGGTGGCGAGTCTGCGGCCCAGTCCTTCCTGGCGCGCCCGGCAGCCTCCGGAGTCGCCGTCACAATACCTACAGCTACAGCCGCCCCGAAGGGCACACGGCTGCAGTAGCAGCAGCCTGACAAGTGTGATAAAATGATCTTCCTTAACTAAACTCGTAAAGCACTGGGCAATAAAACTCAATCTTCTGTAAAATCCAATTAAGTCATTATCTGACTGATTGTATCTTTAATTGAAAACAGAAGTGACAGTAAATTTCTGTGATATATCAGGATCAATCGATACCGCTATACGATTCAGCCCCAAGAAGTGATTTATAATGTCAAACCTATATAGGTAACTCCACATTATTCTCTCTAAAACCACTGGTGGATGAAATTAAGAGTAAGTGCATTTAATAAAAAACAAGATGGTCAGGTTATTGATTACAACAGATGGGGGTGAAATCAAATAGATGTTTTCAAAGCACAGAGCGAAGAAAATACAAGTAATTTCTTTTTTCCTGTTTAATACCGCTCATCAAATATACACACAAGAAAATTCAGTCATCAATAACATTTTTATTTCAGGTACAGCCGCAACTACACAGAACAATGAATTTTTTTAGACTAGTTTTATTTCAGGATGGCTTCTGTTACATAAGTACACCACTAGCAATTTTTAACAAAAAATGAACTCAGAAATCTATAGTAACTTTTAAAGATGTACTTATCTTCAAATCAGATTACAACCTAAGGTTACAAAATAATCTAGATTGCATCCATTTTTTTAAATAGTAGAATGTGCATCACAAACTCTTATATTTTTCTAGAAACAACACTCAGGAACTCTGCATTACTAGGGTTACTTTAAATTGTATTGTTTTCAAACTACCCTTTAGAAAAGGTAGCAATTCTTAAAGTCATTAATTTTTCCTTCTGACTGTTTCAGTCACGTTTTGGATTTGAGGGGATGGGGTCGGGGCTAGGCTTTTCTAACAGCAACACAAACACACACACTATTTCTATTTAACCTTCTGCAGATTTCTAACATAATCACTAACTCTATTCTTCTCACCAGTCAGGAACGTGGCTAAATTTATGGTTTAGCACTTTTATTAAAATACTAAAATTCAAAAAAAGATCTGAGGCACCTAAGATTTCATTTTAAAACTGAAAGTAGTTGACACATTTAGGTGCAAAGGTACTGCTTTACTTGAGTGAATTATTGTATTTCTTGAAAACTACATGTAAACCAGTGTCATAAAAAAATGAGGGACACTAATATTTAACTTTGTGAGCAAAGCACTTAATTGGTGCAGACGGTAGACACAGATAGTAAACTATTCCAAATGTCTTCTAGCCTCTGGGCTAAGCTCTAAGGAGTATAAACCAAACATCTTCTCAACAGTTAAGTTGGTGTGAGTCAAGGCAAAATGTTAACAACAAACCCTGTGTATAAACGGAATAAACCTGCCACTCCAGGTGAATGGCCAAAGGCATCGGGGTGCCGGATTATTCGTCGTCCTCGATGACGGGAGTGACCGCAAAACTGCTGGGCTCCGAGGCAGACTCACATTCGAGCACTCCCTTTGAGCTGTCGTTACTAACAGAAGAGCTGGTGGAGAGGGAAACCAAGCCACAATCTTGACTGCTGGGTGGCGAGAATACTGGGAAGTGGGGAGAGACAGAGGGAGAAGAGTGCGTTAAAAGTGGCTAGTCTTTCTACATTCACAGTGCAATTAGGTTCCAACAAAGAAAAAGGCGCTCTGCAATTTCTATTCGGAGTTGAAAGTGTTTTCATAGACACTCATTAAAATCCCCAGTGCTTCTTTAGAATAAAAAATAGTATTTCTGCACAGTATTATCTATTTAATTGAAGAGGCAAGTTAAGTAGCAGAGTTTCAATTTTATGTTCATTAAAAACAAAAAACAGTCTTCTCCCCCCTCTTTGGGGATACTATTTCCACCCTTCACTGAGCCCCACCCCTTTATGTAAACGATGCTAATAGTTTGACGAGTCTTGTCAAATGATCCATCTGACAAATTACCCCAAGCAAGACCCCACCCATGTATTTCCACCATTTGACAGGTAACCCTAGTTTCTCAGTAGCTAGCAAGTGAAAGCGATAGCTTATCAACTTTCCTGTTAGTTCTCTTGGACAGAGGGAAACAAACACTTGGGGGAAGGTGTACATACCTTTTAAAAAGCATACCTAACTTTTAAAAAGTCAAAATCAGTAAATGGGAAGGAAACTTAAAAAAAATCCCAAAATTAAAAGAAACTGAATTATACAACACTAAAACAGAAGTCAGGTAAAGGTTTTAACAGCAAACCTATAAACATAAAACTCCACTAGGAATCTGACATTAAATATGAAGGATGCAAAAGTAATAATGTGTTGAACAATTTTTGCAACCTTACAAGCCACAGTAGATACAAAATTTAAGCAAAAGGGTCCCTGACCTTCTTAACCTTAGCTGAGTTTAGATCCACCCCCAGAACTCCCTTCCTGCCTAGTGTGAATGTAATTAAGGGGAAGCTGCAGTGGTAATTTCTCTCCTCATTAACTTCCTGATTGGTTTCAGCCTCAGGATTCCGCAGGGCAGTAGTTTGTCACCAATTCCAAATGGCCAATCGTTAATACTAATGTTTGTGTAACTAACTGCCAGCATCTGCCACGGCTTCTTGTACAACAATAATGGTGAAAGGGTACATTAGTGCCCCTGTGTTAATTCAGCTTGTGTTCATCAATAGGGAAATCTATGATGTAATTAGCAAAATGCATTGGGAGCTGAGTGCTGAAGTCATTTGTAGAGAACTAAATCATAGTGGAAGCTGTACTGGGTCCTGATGTGTTTGCCATCAATACTTGTTATGTTTGGAATTTAATAAGGTATATTACCATGCTGAAAAGAGACCTTTTTACAACAGAACACTATTTACGCTTGTTACGGGTTTCGAGGTTTGCTGCAGCTAGTGGAACCACACAGAAATAAAAGAACAGAGCTGGGATTTAAGAAGCGGATCTTTAACCACTCCACTGGACCAAATTATCTGAGAAAGCCCCGTTCTTCCAATGTGACATATGGACAGACAGACAGACAGATGGACAGTTTGGGATAGCTACCTCAATATCCAGTTAGGAAAGGAATGTTCTGAAAGTAAGTTAAAAAATTTGGAAAAGAGTGTAGGTAATTTCCTGACAAGCAATTTACTTTTTTTTTTTTTTTCCAGTACGCGGGCCTCTCACTGCGGTGGCCTCTCCCGTTGCGGAGCACAGGCTCCGGACGCGCAGGCCCAGCGGCCATGGCTCACGGGCCCAGCCGCTCCGCGGCATGTGGGATCTTCCCGGACCAGGGCACGAACCCGTGTCCCCTGCATCGGCAGGTGGACGCCCAACCACTGCGCCACCAGGGAAGCCCACAATTTACTTTTGATATTGGCAGTATGTGTTTAGATTTACTAAGTTAAACAAAAAGAGTACTAATTTGAACCTAGAAAACCTAAAGCTTTCATTTTCTCACTGTTCATTAAGGCTTCTTACTAAATTTGAGTTGTTATATGGATTTAAATTTCCCTGCAAATCCAAGATAATTTATGAATTGTGTTACACGCCCAAGGATGTTGTATCTACACAGAGAGCAGACTCTGCTCTGACATCTTGTGACTATACAAGGATATGGAGAGCCAACTAAGGGCCAACCAGAGTCTGAGTTAATCTGCCCACCCTCATCCCCATCTCAAGCCAGTGACAGAAGGTTCTCTGTACAGAAGAGATGGAGAAGGGAGTGAACATTTACTACTTCTTGTATGTCACCTACTTTAATGAGTATGTAAATTTAACCCTCAAACCATTCACTGAGAGAATTGTTCTCCCGTTTTTACAAAGGAGGCCCTGTGGAAGCTGCCAAGGGCAGTGCAACATTGGTCAGCCCCACCTCCTGGCTTGTTCTCACCCCTGCACCATCCCCACCCTTGGGTGTCACATTTAGTCACTGGCCACTGAACTGTCCTAATCTCTGTATTAGTTTGAGGAGGTAAAATAACTGACCCTTGTCAACTTAATGCAGAGGCTATAAAGGAATAGGCAAAGCGTTCTCCAGACATGTTCTGAGCTTCTGCCTACAGTTAACAGCTGACCTAGGGATGCTCCCACCCCAGCCACAAACACCCTGCCTCCCCCATTCGGCCCGACTTGTGACTGAAAAAGCAAGGGGCGGGAATTCTGCAAAAGAAAGGACTTGGGGAGAGCCCCCCTTCTGCTCTCACTTGCCTTGTGGGTACTTTCTTGGAAAATGTTCCTCTGACCTGAGGGTGTGAAGATGTGCAGAGGGTGTCACCTGCATAGACTAGGGAGGCTCCAAGCATACTTAATGCATGACTGCACTCCAGAGAAGATCCAAATAAATGAACTCAACCTGTTTTGCAAAATACCTGTATTTCTTAAAGCTTTTCTCCACTCAAAATTTAAATCCATGTTCATTTCACTTTTGTTAAAGGCTTAGCATTGTCTCTGAATGCTGAAGTTAGGGACAGTATCTGTTTAACTCATTTTGTGTAGCACTTCATAAAAGTAGTTCCAAGTGCATCAAAGATTTAGTGTTTATCTTAGTGACTAATGTCCAAAATTTATTTTACTATCATCCTTAAAGATGAAGGTACCCTCTTCATTTAAATGCAGCTTCATTAAACTTTACTGGGGGGAAGAATAACAACCGATCATTTTAAATCATTTTATACCAATTAAAAATTAAAAAGCCAAAATTCTCTTTTTTTGCGTGTTGATTCTAATGAGCCCTGCAGAAGGGCTAATTTCAACTCAAAAGGTTCCTCTTCATTATTTTGTAAAAATGCTAATGCCTACTGTCCACGGGACTGTGGGGAAAGATACGCTGTTGGTAGCACTAGAAATTGGTTCAATCTTTCTGGACAGCAGCCTAGTGACATGTAATAAGAACCGTAAAACTGTTCATACCCTCTGACCTGGTAATTCCACTCTGGGGAATAAACCCAAAGAAAGAAAGAATAATTGGCCGGGCGATGCTCCACACACCACTATTTGCATGAGCGAAGACGTGAGTGCTTTGCTCCGGCGCTGGGGGGTGGGGGTGGGGTTTGGGGAGGGGGGCAGGAAGCTTTCACAGGCAACAGACAATTCAGGATTTTGCTACCCTGTAATCATCACTAGGCTCCCAGCATTTACAGAAATGGAAGAAATGACTCCTGGAGACCGAAGTAGAGATTTAAAAGCAAGAAAATGAAAAAAAAAAAAAGGAAAAAGTGCCCATCTGATCTTTTTTCTTGTTACAACGAAAGGTGGGTAAACCTCTGAGGCTGACCCTGGTTTGAACCAGCAAACCCTGTATCTGTTTTCTCTCTACTAGCCTATTTGTCTACAGCAGCTAAATGGTCTTTCTTTTATTATTATTTTAAAACAAACAAAGAAACCTTACACATAATCACTCTTACCAGTGCTGAGGGGGAAAAAAAGATGATTTCAGTGATGCCATCTAACCACCAATATTCTTTTTGGAAAATATTATAGACTGCACCCACCCCCCAAGCCCACCTCTCTAAAAAACAAAACAAAGCCCAATCTAACTGCTAAATCTTTTGACACTGCAAAGACCCCTGACTTTTAACTTGAATGATCTGTTGGGAGTCGGTGGACCGGAACGAACAATTCTCTTCCAGTGATGTGAGAAACAGGATATTCATGCTTGAGAAAAAATTGTTCTTCCTCTAGATGTTAAACACTATTAAGCTCCCACTAAGAAACCATTTTAAAAATAAAAAATGGAAGTGGCATTCTTCAACTGTTAGCAACTCTTCACCTAGACACTGACAGGTCTCTTTGGTTTCCTCGAGTTTGCAAGCCTAAGAGTCTGATGAAAATGTCTTAAACAATGAATTCTTCCGCTTCATGATAACCATAGTGTTTGGAAATAAAATCATGTCCAATCAATACCACTTAGCAGATATCTGATGTTTCACAATAGGACTCTTTTCCAGAGTAGAACTGCTACCCTTCTCACTAACATTTAAAATAACTAGGATTATCTTAGCTGTCCGAAGCTTGGCAGGTTCAGCTTGTACTTTCAAACAGCATTAATTCTTGGCACTCAGAAGAAGGGATAAAAGGTAAAGATATGAATGGAGATCTTTATTCCACCTGATCTATCAAGGATTAGCTCATTCTTTTCCAGTCCATGCCTGCACGCTAGTGAAGAGGAAGGCTAAGCTGTAACTGATGTAATTAGAAACCACAAGCTGAGAATAAAATAGCCCTTTATTAATCGCCCCCATTTACTATAAATTTACCAAAAATATAATAATCTTTGAAACAATTAAATGTGTTTTTTTCCACCTGTGTGTAATCAAAAGCGTAGTGGCTAGAGAGAGAGTCTGGTTAGGATTACGCTTTCCCTGAAAACATTACCTTAATTGCCAGTCTAAAATCTAACAGCAGTTTTGAGAGGGGCCAGCTCAGCCCTGTGCACAGTGTAGGGAGAAGTGGCCAAGCCATCATAAAGGAGAGCTCCTGTGGATGGAAAGAGGCACGTGATCGGTGCTTCCTCCTTGATCCTGTTGCCACAGCCTTGGCAAGCTCTAGGAAAAGCCATCTTACAGACAAGGTGAACCGATAACAGAAAGCACATATTTAAC